TGTTTGCAATAGCATGATCAGTATTACTTCCTGTAAAATTTACATCCTAATAAAAGATCTCAGAAGATCACACTGTATATAGTGGATGTGTGTTATAAGTGCGCATGTGGAGTTCAGAAAAAAGAACAAATTAAAGCAGCATCATGTTATTGAACTTGTTAATTTCAAAAAGCTAAACAGGTCAGACACCAGGGGATGGGACATCAGTAGGCAGGTATAACAGGAGGTGCCAACTGTGAAATACCTAAATATAGTTCACAAGCTTGAATTGTGGTAGTGAATATGTCTTTTTTTCTTCTTCCACCTGTAGCTGTTCATGTACTTAGCGCTCCAACAGTTTGCTGTTCCTCAGGATTTGGCTCTAAGTATTTTTTTGTTCAAATAGGAATTGCATGATGTTTTCTTTCCCAATATGCTGCTTTTCTTTCCTGATAGGTGGTATAAGCCCTTGGGATCTTCTGATCTGCTTGTCTTCGAGAAACAATGATGGTACTGGATGCATCCAAACAGAAGACCTGCATCATCTAGAGTTATTCCAGAAGGTATGAGATTACTGTGTTATCCTTTGTGGGAATGAGAGGACAGGGCTAGCCCAAATTTTCGGTACTCACTCATAAAAAGAAAAGTATCTGATGCTTATTTTATACTGCAGCAGCACAGTTTACAGATATAAAAAAGTTTTTTCAAGTTTTCTATCTACTGAGGGATACCTGTCAGATACTAATATTTCATTCCTCTTTATATCACAGCCAGTCATCAAAAGCAATTTCTCATTTGGACATAGTATTTTATTTTGGAGGCAATTATTTCAGTGTAAATACTGAAAATTGTTACAACTGAGCATCAAGTTTTCCTTGTCTCTTCTTTAGCTTGAACTTCTGCATTCTTGGCCACCCTCAACCAGCATGTCAGGCAGCAAAAGCATCTACAGAAGTCAAGGGAAACTTAAACAATTTACACCATTGTAAACGAGAATTTAGACATGGGGAGAAACAACGAGCAAAAGCATGCAATATTTCAGAAAAATAGCATAAGGGTAACGTAAGTCATAGATTCATAGAATCAGAGAATCAAAGAATCATAGAATGGTTAGGGTTGGAAGGGACCTTAAAGATCACCTAGTCCCAACCCCCTGCCATGGGCAGGGACACTCTCCACTAGATCAAGTTGCTCAAAGCCTCATCGGGGAGAAACAACGAGCAAAAGCATGCAATATTTCAGAAAAATAGCATAAGGGTAACGTAAGTCATAGATTCATAGAATCAGAGAATCAAAGAATCATAGAATGGTTAGGGTTGGAAGGGACCTTAAAGATCACCTAGTCCCACCCCCCTGCCATGGGCAGGGACACTCTCCACTAGATCAAGTTGCTCAAAGCCTCATCCAGCCTGGCCTTAAAGACTTCCAGGGATGGGGCAGACACAACTTCTCTGGGCAACTTGTTCCAGTGCTTCACTACCCTCAGATGAAAGAATTTCTTCCTTATCTCTAATTAAAATCTCCCCTCTTTCAGTTTAAAGCCATTGTCCTTTGTCCTATCACTACATGCCCTTGTAAAATGTCCCTTTCCAACTTTCTTGTAGGCCCCCTTTAAGTACTGGAAGGCTGCTAGAATGTCTCCCCAGAGCCTTCTCTTCTCCAGGCTGAATAACTCCAACTCTCTTAACCTATCTTCATAGGAGAGGTGCTCCAGACCTCAGATCATCTTCACGGCCCTCCTCTGGACTCACTCTAACAGGTCCATGTCCTTCTTATGTTGTGGGCCTCAGAGCTGAATGCAGTACTCTGGGTGGGGTCTCATGAGAGCAGAGTAGAGGGGCAGAGTCACCTCCCTTGACCTGCTGGCTATGCTTCTTTGGATGTAGCCCAGGATATGGTTGTCTTTCTGGGCTGCCAGTGTACATTGCCGGCTCATGTTGAGCTTCTCATCAAAAGCACCCTCAAGTCCTTCTCCTCAGGGCTGCTCTCAGTCCATTCTGTGCCCAGCCTCTACTTGTGCTTGAGACTGATCCATGTGCAGGACCTTGCACTTAGCCTTGTTGAACTTCATGAGGTTTGCACAGGCCCACCTCTCCAGCCTGTCAAGGTCCCTCTGGATGTCGTCCCTTCCCTCCAGCATGTTGACCACACCACACAGCTTGGTGTCATCAGCAAACTTACTGTGGGTGCACTCAATCCCACTGTCCGTCGCTGACAAAGTTGTTAAACAGCTCTGGCACCAACACCGAACCTTGAGGAATACCACTCATCACTAGTTTCCACTTGACATCGACACTTGGCCATTGACCAAAACTCTTCGAGTGTGACCATCCAGCGAATTCCTTATCCACTGAGTGGTTCATTTGTCAAATCCATGTCTCTCCAATTTAGAGACAAGGATGTCATGTGGGACAGTATCAAATGCTTTGCACAAGTCTGGGTAGACGATGTCAGTTGTTCTTCCCTTATCCACCAACGCTGTAACCCTGTCATAGAAGGCTACCAAATTTGTCAGACATGATTTGCCCTTAGTAAAGCCATCTTGGCTGTCACCGATCACCTCCTTTTTTTCCATGTGCCTTAGCATGGTTTCCAGAAGGATCTGCTCCATGATTGTGCTGGGCACAGAGGTAAGACTGACTGGCTTGTAGTCCCCTGGGTCTTCCTAATTTAGCCGGAATAATTTAGGCTTCACATCTTATTTCACTACTGATTTTCATCTAATGTAATTGCTGCTTTGCAAACATAATTTTGACACCTTTTCAAACAGTGACAGTGCTCCTACAATTGATAATGTTTGAGCTAGACCAGTGTCCTCCTCCAAGGCCTTCATGGGAGTTCCTTGCTCTGGCACTGCAATCTGCTTACTCATAGTCGAAAGCATCAGTGGTGCCAGTATTTCTTGGTATTTTCAGGATTGTTGTTTTCTTTTTTTTTTCACTTGAGCGTGTTGTGAGCACAGTTTAGGTTACTTAGATGTGCAAATGTCTAAATAAGCACCTGACCTGTTGGTGAAAATATCTAAGTGACTTAAACTGAGAGCTTTGTTTGAAAAAACGTGACCAAACTATGAATGAAGCTTATATTTCAAGTACAATGGCACAGACAATAATAGCAAGACCTAAAAGTATAAACTCTGACCTGAGGGACTGGGAGAAATAGAGCTGCTTTTAGAAGGTATTTAGTTCAGGTTTGAAGACCATCAGAACGCAAAAAATCTCTATTGTGTCCACAGAAGTCAGAGCTAAGAGTGTGTACACTGGGACAGGATGCCTTATCTAGGTGTAGCCAATGAAATTTTTATAGCAGTTCCAGTTTACTAGAAGTGTACATGCTTTGGATTCAGGTTTCAGATCATAAACCACCCCAGGCTTCTGCAAACTGCTTTTTGCTCATTTTATCCATATTATCATATCTGAGCCTTTGATACTGTGCAACATATTAATCTTTACAGCACTCTGCAATGTCCAGAAGTTTCACACATGAATAACTGAGACATAAGGTGATCAAAGGATTTGTCCAAGTTCCCTCAGGAAGTCTGCAGCACAGCAGGGACTTAAACCAGATGGCCCATATCTCCGGATAACTTTAAATATTGGACTAACATTACTCGCTGCTGGCATGTCCAGTGCAACACCGTTCTTTGTTGCAAAACCTGGATGCGGTTTAGCTACACTAGCTTACCACTGTTCCCAAGCACAGCAATTCAAGAGGCACAGGCTATTTCCATGCAGGCAGAGACAGGGATTGATAACTGGCAGAGATCAGAGAAGCTGCAGAAACTGAAAAAGAGGCAGGGCCAGGGAAGGGGTGAAAACTCAGCAGCAGGAGGAGAGCTAGAAGTCTAAAATTTTGTTTTATGATGGGCTGGAGGAAGACCCTGTACTTTAACTTCGTTATCTCACATTGCAGGAATGGCAAAGTTGCAATTCCCTTCTGACACTGACAGGAGCTTTGTACATGAGGTGTCTCTGATAAATTAAACACAAACTCACTGAAGGCTCCAGGAAAAAGAAGACTTTTCTGAATGAAGTCATTAAAGCTTCTCTTTTTACATACAGGTAAACCTACTTCCAGAAATCCAGCATTTCCTTTGCAGAAAAGAGGGATTATGTCAGATAACAAAAGCCTTTTCAGGTAACCTAATTTCTTCAAATCAACATTTGTGATGATGTTCTTAATAGTTGTCACAGGAAGTCTCTGAAATGAGACTGTCAGGTTTACAGTTCCATTTTAGTTTTAGTCATGAATACAGAGGGGGAAAAAATGGAAAAGAACAATAATCCATTTCAGACACCACTTAAATACAAATTACAGTTATGCAGTATCTTTTCAGGAAAAGATATCGTGTTGTTTAGCCATTGCATATTGCAGAAATAATTTGGCTATAAGTGTCTTATTTTTGGACTGTTTTGTGTTAATATAGTATACTAGTGTTTACACTTCAAAGCCCTGGGTTCGGTGTAATATGTTTGTTCAGCTTTACAAAAATGTTGTGGCATGGAGAAGGAGTAGGAGTCGGAGTTTGGTTCCCATCCAGACATAGTTTACTGATAAAAAGCCTTGTGTATTACGATGATCAGCCAGAAAAGTTTAAAGGTTATGGGCCAGTTGCCAGAGAATTCTAATTTACTATGGGTGAAACTCAGCTTTGAATAGAAACTAGAAAAAAATGTTGTACACCATATTGGTGTATATATTAGGTATCTTAAACTACAGAGGGATCCATTCTGATCTCAGTTACACCACTAAATATCCAGCATCAATTTATGTTCTATCTTCACTATATAAACTTTGCTTATAAGAAATCCTGTCTTTTTTTTTTTTTTTTTTGTAATCCAGTAACAACCAACCCCACATTTATTCCATTAGTGTTTAACCTTGTTTGCAGTCAAATTTACAAAATTGATTGGTCTTTTCCTGCTGTATCCAGCATTGGTGCAGCCTCACCTGGAGCAGTGTCTGCAGTTCTGGGACCTACAGTTTAAGAAGGACGTGAAAGTCCTTGAATGCATCCAGAGGAGGGCAACAAAGCTGGTGGAAGGGCTGGAAGAAATGTCCTAGGAGGAGTAGCTAAGGCCTTTTGGCTTGTTTAGTTTGGAGAAAAGGAGGCTGAGGGATGGCCTCATTGCTCTCTACAGCTTCCTGAGGAGAAGTGGAGAGGGAGGTGCTGAGCTCTTCTCCCTGGTATCCAGTGACAGGACAAGTGGGAATGGTTCAAAGCTGCACCAGGGGAGATTCAGACTGGATGTTAGGAAGCATTTCTTTTCCGAGAGGGTGGTCAAACACTGGAACAGGCTTCCTGGAAAGGTGGTAGATGTCCCAAGCCTGTCAGTGTTTAGGAGGCATTTGGACAATGTCCTTAACAACATGTTTTAACTTTTGGTCAGCCCTAAATTGGTCAGGCAGTTGGACTAGATAATCATTGTAGGTCGTCTCCAATTCAAATATTCTATTCTTTTAATTTTTCCTCTTTGGTCCCCTCCCCTTCTCTCCTCTCCTCTCCTCTCCTCTCTTCTCTTTTCATCTTATACACATATGCTATATTTAGCACATAAGGAAAAGATTACATCTGATTTAACCATTTAGAAGTCAGGTATCTTTTGCACCAGTGTTCTAGTCTTCCCCTTAAGTCTGTGGAGAAAGAAGGGAACCTTCAAACACTACTTCATTTTAGCCTAAACTATGTATTTAAAATAGATGTGTTGAATTACCCTCTACAGGTACTTCAGGTACAATTACCTCTCACCACAGACTGTAAACAGAGCCTAGACAAGTAGCTTAGATTAAATACCTGACACTTGGATACTTGACTGAAGTTGAAATTAAGTAGTTCCTAACCTAAGCACACCATATTTTCCCTTTTGATTTTTGTAATGTTTCCCTTAAAGCTCAATCAATATATAAAACCTATGTGAAATGTTTCCCTTAAAGAACTGCATGTTGAGGATCAGTTTAAATTGATATAATTAAAGTTTAAATGACCAAAACTGATCATAAGGAACATGCAGTATAAGGAACATCTATCCAGGTCTCATGCGAGTCCTTTATTCTGTTTTGGCTGAGTTTTAGGTATGTCTTCAGTGATGCCTAGTGCCTTGGTTCCCTTGGACTGGAAAGTGAATTAGAAAGTATTCTGACATAGTACCAGTTTCAGACAAACCTGAGCAGATTTCTAAAAATTTCAAGAATTACAGGAACGAGTAGCTCCTACTCATGTTGAAACAGACTGCTTTTAGAAAACATTGGTTTTCTTGATACTTGGAGAAAGGCCAATTGCAGTAGTTTTATTATTTTGCTACCGCAAAACCGCAAACACAAGAGGCACTCACCACACACAGAGCTTTCCCCTTAAAATACGCACGTTTCACCAAGGTCCATAAACTGTGGTACAAGCCACTTTGTGTATACAGTCTGTTAAACTGTCCGGTGTTTTCTCCTCTTTAGAAAAGGGCCATTTGTAAACATCTTACTACATACTTACATTATTATTTCTTCCCTGGCAAAGAGAAGAGCCCTTCTGATTGGTGCTGAAATCCTATTGAAATCAAGGCAGTATGTGTGCCCAGCAGCATGGCTTGGAGAATCCTACCCACCCAGGAACAGAGGATTATTCTAGCAGTCTGCTGAAGCACTGTCAGAGAGAAAAAGGCCTGCCCCTCACCTTTGGGTTACCAGTAAAAAAGATTTTGAACCATAATCAGCTGCAGTGTTTTAAATTTTAAAAAAAAAATCTTCTAAATCTAGGTATCTCTGCCATCAGCATGTGACCTTGGGGCTGAGGGAGCTGTTTCAACACCAGGGTCTCATGCCACTTGAGACACCCTGGGGAACCCAGGTCGCCCAGTAGGATGGGCAGATTTGGCACAGAACCTACGTCTTTGTGGTCCAGCAGCTGGAGGCTCAGAGGGATATCCTATGGTGTCCTAGGTGGCAACAGATGTCTATGTGTGGACACCTGAATTTAACACTCAGTATATAAGCTCCCAAAATTAACTGAAGTACAGTTTAGAGTAAGCAAGCCCAAAAGAACATTTAGGTCCAGCATAATTTAGGGTTACCTGAACTGCTTTACACTGACTGTGCAGGCTACACTGATGTCCACTGACTGGAATGGGAACTTAGACTCTGGCACACAGGGAGTCCTCTTTGTATAGACCAGACCTCAAGTGTCTTCATCTAGAGATGAATCTCGTTCAGTATCACCGGATATGTGAAATCTAATTTACTGTGAGTGAAATTCACCCATAGAAGGCGAAATTAGAATCAGAAGGGTAAATCATTTGGTTTGAGGTTTAGAGGACAAAAAGGCCTAAGTTAAAGCAAACTTCTACCCAGAGCCAAGATTTCAGATCCTCTCCTCCCCTTCCATTCATATGGTAAAGCCAGCTCTTTCCACTTCTTTCTTCTGCTTGCATCCTCTGACAGACCTTTCTTCCCAACAACAGCAAAGCTGACAATTATTAGGATTTGTTTGATCCTCAATTTTAAAATTATTCAGGGAAAGAATGGTTTTCATCAGTATTTCCTCCACAGAAGAGGTTGTTTCCTTTCAAATCAGTCATGTACTTTCACTCTTGTGTGTTTGAGTCAACAGAGCTTCTCTGCAATTCCTGTTGAAGAGGATCGGTTGGTTTGTTATTACTGTGTTTGTCATTTAGTCAGCCCCCCAAGGAGCCAAGCAATTTCCTGTAAAAGTGAAAACACAAAGTTGCTGCTCTAAGAATTATGTGATCTAATTAAAGACACACTAAGTCGTAGAAAGAAATATCAGGCAGTAGGCTGAGAGGATGGGATTACTGGATTTACTGTGGGTACAACAGTGTTGATATTGATCAGCAGTGGGTACGAGGGTAAAGGTTATTTTTTAAAGAAATGCTATTATATTTGTTGTTGTGCAACTCTTAAGCTGCTAGGTTCTGTATTTAAGAGAGCATGCACCTTCTCATAACCCTGTTGTTTCAATATGGGAAAGAAAATGAGTTGTAGAAAATATCAGGTCAGTGCTTGTTTCTTTGCTTTGTCTCTTCGATGGAAAAATCTTTTTGTCACTCTGAAAATTCAGATTGGTTCTACCTGTGTGGGGGGAAAAAATTGTGTACACATCAGCGATGACTCCTTTTTAGGAGACAGGAGAGAAGCTGGGAAGAGAAAACAAGTCAGAAAAGTCAGAAGGAAGAATTTAGAGGAGCAAAAAAAAGGCAAAAAGTATGTGATGTGTGTGGATAAATTGGGTTGAGAAGAAAAGGAAAGAGATGAAAGCAGTTGCTGAAGGATGGGCCCATGTGGCAGTGGGTTTGTGATGAGGCATAAGAGTGGAAATGATTCTTAAAATTCAACATGGAAGACACTGATAAATGCTTGCTGCTCATTCTGAGATTGGTTTCACTCCTGCTTTTGCAGGACATTTGGCCCAGTTTTTAATCTGGTGCCTGAAGTCTGCTTGCTATATGGAACTTGGGCCATGAAGGAGTTCTGGCACGGCTATTGAGTGACCAAGGAAGGCTCCTGGCATTTATTGCTCAGATCAGCAAAAGCTGCAGCTGTTGCAGGGATCTGTGAATGAAATCTTCCTACAAACAACCCAAAACTAGAAGTTCTCTGATGTTGGAGAATGACTGGCAAAGACATGTTAGGTGCTCACACTGAGTGTCTCACCACAAGTGGGCTGAGAGCTGGGCTTGGCTGCCTCCTGGAACTTCTCCCTGCTGCGAGATGGAGAGGACTAAGGCTGACAACGTGAGCAGAATTGTCCAGCCTCAGTTTAGGGCGCAGGAAAGGCATCCTAATGTATGCAAAACAAATACTATCTTTAACAGGTTTTTCTTGATAAAGTAGTGGGAATGTTTATAGTGTTGCCTTCCTGATTTTCCTAATCCCTAAACAATCCAGTCTGTCTTTCCACATGAGCGTTTGTCTTGCTCCGTCACTTCCAAGGCCTAGCTTGTGCCACACAGCTGTTTTCTCTACCCATCCAGATCAGCAATTATTTTAAAGTAATACTTTTGCTGTGTGCTTCCCTTCTGCAATTCTTTTTAATAGTGTCTCTAGTGAAGAGACTTATGAGCATCTACCAGCCTTGCATGTTCACTTGGCCAACTGCGGGGCTGGCCAACGGTGCTAATGACACAGAAGGT